AAAAATGCCCTTTAGCTGCTGCTTTTTGGAACATTTGATGTTAGAAACTTTGGGGAGGTAATACAGCTTTTCCAGGGGAAACTCTCTCCTTTCTCTCCTATGTCCTCACTTATCATCCTTTCAAGAATGATAAGAAGATTCTTTGGGAAAATTTCATTGGAGCATTTGGAAGGAGTGGAACGCTCGATTTTCTCAGATAAGCAAGCAGAAGAGTTTTTTGTAATTTTCCTTTATAGAACCTCATCTATTATTTTGTAATCATCACATCATTAATGAAATGTGTTCCTACTTGAATTACAGAAAAAGAAGGATATACTTGAGTTAACTTTATAATTAAATTCTCCACATTTGACATTCAGTGTAACTTTCTTTTAAAAAAAACCATAGTTTATGTATTTTATTTTAAAGTTTTACCACTATCCCCCAGCCTTAGGGTTGCACCGTTGGAAATTAATAATTATCAAAGAATTCATTCTATCGCTAAATGTACAAAGGAAGGAATAAGAAATAAAAAGGATCAATAAATGACTACTACTCAAATGGTAATTTGTGCTTACCATTGATTCACTCACGCTCCGCTGATCAAGCCCAGGTAAATCAATCAATTTCAATGGAGGTGCTGAGAGAACGAGTTGTAAACTCAATTAAATAATTTAAACTAAAGCATCAAAACATAGGGACTAAATGGAAACTATACACAAGACATAGGGACTAAAAATGTATTTCTCCCACCATTCAAACTTTGTGGACGTGAGAAGAATAACTGTTATACTGTGTTATACTATAATGCATACGCCAGTGTCCATCACTGATCTACCATATGTGGAAGTACTTCCTAACTACTGCTGATCTTATTTCTGCTCAGTACTTGTACACTGTTTATGTGATACTCTCTCACGAAGAGCACATGAAAATACAACCTTGTTAAATTAGAGAAATTGTCGGCCTCTGATCATGGACTCAGAGTTACCTGTACTAGTGCGAAGCTTCAAATAGATTTCATCCCGGCTCTTGCCAGAGGAACCTTTACTTAATCTGTCCTGTAGAGAGTGCCGCAAAGCACCTGCATAAATACAGGAAAAATGAGGAAGAAAACATAAGCAGAGAGATATGGGTTAGTTGAACATGCTATACAAACAAAAAAAAGAATTAGAATGCTGAAGAATTACCATCAATTACTATCAGTTTACAAAATGTTAAATGGTCATTTTCTAGAACATGAAAGAGGCAAAAGACCGGATGAAAGATATGTCACCAATTGACATTAATAACTTAAAGAGAAGCTCTATTTTTTATTAAAACAAATTCAATTAGAAAATAATGTTTATAGAAAAGTAAGAAAGGGAATTAATATAACAGTTAAATTTTGTAGAAATACTTAACCATCCATCAAGCATCAGCACAAAGTTGTAACACGTGGATAAAAGTAAGGAGAGTATCCATTAAAGTCACTTACTTGCAGAAACTTGCTGAGACTTATTGTCAATCTGCAAGATAATTGATTTGCTGCTCAATGAGCTATCCCTCTGTAAATCAATGCTTATGGGAGCTCTAGTAGCACCATTTTCACCAGTTGGCTGGCCCAAAAAAAAAAGGATACAAACTCATAAAGTGACGGTCCTAATGTTGACAATTGCGTAGCAGTATATTTAGAAACTCAAATGTAGGTTATGAGAACATTTGAAATCCAACTTACCAAAACAGGATGTCCAATCAAACTATTTAAAACAGCAGATTTACCAGCACCCTGAAAAAAGAAAAAAAAAAATCAGGACCCATACTATTTCTTAGATGGTAAGGTGCTAGAGTTTTCATGATTGTGCATTAACACTTCGGTAGCAAAAAGCAATAAAAACCGTAGGCTTCTTGTTTTTCCGTCCCTTTCCAATTAATAATTCAGAAGTTCAGTTAAGAAGGTACTGGATTTCTCCTTCCAATGTTTTTAACAGCAGAAAATCACCATAAAATTTATTAATGTTGAGATTATAACACTATAACCATAGAATCATGATAAAGCGACCACAGTATCCACGGTCAATTCAGTTTCAAGTGATGGTTGAAACTCCATGCCAAATTTATTTCCATATTTATGTGAACTGCTTCAGCACTATCACTCATTCATCGACTGAATATTTGCTTTATTCTTCAGGAAGTTTCTGACTCTACACTTATATGCCTTCAACCAGACAAAAAAACTTAGAGACATATAGAATGGTCCAGAAACAAGTACATCGCAAGTGACCTGATCTCTAAAGTATAACACTACCGAGCAACCTGGTAGACAATCTAAGTTTATCGAAGCAGAGGTAATTTCATCGCTTCTCAAAGTGGCCTGGCAAACTAGAAATGCTGGTGCCGTGAAACATATCAACGCGTTTTCAATAGCTACATGGTCGATACAGAATAAGTAGATCGATATATCAATCCATCATCCCAATCTCATGGAAACAGATACAAACGTCGAATGGCCTTGCAATAATGCAGGTGTTCCGATCACCAGGAAGTAGTACACCTCCTTCCAATTATAATCATACGTCAATCTCAATAACTGAAGCTGCACGTTTCTAAAAATTTAATGAGTTTCGGAATTTCTAAGATTCAATTCAGATATGATCCGACACTTCAAGTGAAATTTACGTGAATTCAACGAACAACGCATGGGAAAATGGTAAAGAGATGCCGAAACTAGAAAATGTAATTCGATAACGAATCCGAACGGATGAGAAGTTACCACATTCCCCAAGGCCACGACGTTGAGGAAAGTGGAAGGCCTGCGAGAGGAAGCAGTGGAGGTGGAAGTTACGTCGACATCCTCATCGGCAAGCAAAGCCGCAGCTTGCCGCATCGAGTCCGACAGCTGCGCCAACTCCTCGATAGCCTCCATTGAATCCATTGTAGGATGAGAAATGAGAGACAGAAGGTGATAACACAGTTGGATCTAACTCAAAGGTGGATCGATTCAATTGGAATCCCGTGACAATATAGATCTCTGAGCACAATTCATCCAGAAAATCAGAAAAAAAAACGACGATATTACTGTTGCTCCTTTCCCTTGGTTCGAAAATCAGAGAAAATCGAAGAGTTCCCTCTCAACTTTCTCCACTGTCTTATAATTCTAACAACAATTTGATCGCTTCTCAGTTTTCCCTCGTTTATTATTTTATTTTTTTCACCCTTAAATTAAATTTTATTTTACGTATTTCCCATGAGATTAGCATAACTCTTAGGATTCTTTTTTTCTTTTCCTTTCTTTTTCCTTTTCCTTATCCTTTTCCGGACAAGATCTCTTCGGCTCTTCACAAATAAATTTTAATTTTAATTTTTTAATTAATGTCTGGATTGTGTTTGTAAATCAACGGATCAAATAATTGTTTAATTTTATAAATTATAATGAATTTATTTTTGTTCCTTCGGTTGGTGAAATGTTGAGGCCAAGAATACTACGGATTTCGATGTCCAAAACAGAGGCAATCCCTCCTTCCCTGTCCTATTTCACACTTGAATCTTCTTGTTTAAGCTTTCTAAGAGAATGTCCTTTTTACTAAATATTATAAAATTAATAAATAATGCCACATAATTAAAATTTACACCTTAATTATGTGGAGGTTATTTTATTATTATTTTTTCTTTTTGTTAGTCAACTTTACTCGATCATCATTTAGAATTATTTTTTAAATTTTGAAGACTACTTTTTAAATTTAAATAACAAATTTACCCAATTAAATAAAATTAAATACTCAACTCATACTCTACTAATGATTATGGCTCGATTTTCATTCAATCGTACCTTCGCCAATTTCTTCGACTTCAGTCCCCTTCCTCTCTGATTTCAACATCAATACCTCCTGCAACCTCTGGTTTCGTCTCTACACTCTTAGATATGAATCAATAACATCTAAATCTTGGTCGTTGATCATATTTATTCATGGCAGCAACTTCATATTCATGGCTTGCCATTCCAAGCTCTTTGACGATTTTTGTCGTAGGCTTACTTGCTAGATCTCAACCATCAACATCTTTGTCAATTACCGTCTCATTCGTGAGAATCAATGGTTAGGTTATGGAGATCATTAAGTTCTAAAGTTAATTTGGTTGACGTTGTCCAAAAACACGGTGCTCAACATTATCAGAGATAAGACAATATCAGATTTGTTGAAGACACTCTCATATATATATGAAAATCATCGACTATGAATAAAGTATATTTATGTTCAATCTACACACGTTTAATAGTAGATATATTACAAATAATATAAATGATTAGTTTTTCGTCAACGAGTTATGTGAAAATTAATTTTAAAGATTGAAATTATAATATTAAGTTTAATGTCATATTTACTCTTGAAATAGTGTTGCTGCCGGGTCAACAATTCTGGTAGATATGGGAAACTTCTCACTATAATTGAATGAAATATGAGGTATAGTTCTCCGTGAATATATTTACAAACTGAAAATTGGAGATTCACTGGACAACACTTTTAATGTTGTTCGAAGGGGACGAAGGACCAAACAAATATGGCCTATCAAAATAAAAGAATCAAACAACATTTATTAAATTATAAATAAATAATGAACTCAAACTTTTATTAATTTATTTTTAAATATTTTAAGTATTTTTAACTCAATTTCAATATATAATTTCATAAAATTTTATTTATAATTTACTTTAAAGAAAAAAAAAGAAAGAAAGAAAGAAAGAAAGAAAACGAAAGCCCCTCTTTTACACTATTCTGGATAACCCAAAAGAAAAAGAACAACCGACTCCTTCTTGCCGTAAAACAATTTGCTTTTTCTTCCCTCCAACGTGGGTCTCCAACTGGGTGGCACTTGTCGCCTTCACAAAGAATACCACATTCTTTGGAAATAAAAGAATAAAGTATAGGTGAAGCTTCCAGTTTGATAACCTAATTAATTTCATATGAAACTATAGTATTTGAAGATTATTAATTTACATAAAATACCCAATTAATTGGCCAACTATACGAAGGGAATAGGAGGACGCCGAGAGAGTAAAGTTTCAGAGGTTACGATAATATTAATCATACCTTCAGCATGTCTTCCACTGGCGACACTCAATCTCCTTCCTCATCTCCCAACCTTCCATCCAAGCGTAAGCTTGCCGATCTATTCACTTCCGTCCTTTTCCGACATGTTTTCCGATCAGATTTTACAGTGAACCGCGGTCTCCTCCGCCTACTCGACCGTAAAGTACCTCCCTCCACCACTCGCGGCGTCGCCTCCTTCGACACCACACTCGATTCTTCATCCTCCGACCTCTGGCTTCGTGTTTATAATCCTCCCACATGTTCCGAGTCCGATCGTATGCCTGTTATCATATACTTCCACGGTGGAGGCTTTGTATTCGGCTCCGCCGATTCCCAGCAGATCGACTCGTTCTCTCGCGATTTTGCTCGCGAAATCGGAGCCATTGTCGTCTCCGTCAACTACCGCCTCGCGCCGGAGCACCGATTTCCGAGCCCATACGACGACGGATTTCGCGTTCTGAAGGCAATCGACGAAGGATCGATCGCCAAAAGTCTTCCAGAAAATGCTGATATAAGCCGCTGTTTCATCGCCGGCGAAAGCGCCGGAGGTAACATCGTGCATCACGTGACGGTGAGAGCGGCGAAATATGAGTTCAAGAGGCTTAGGATCGCAGGTATGATTGCCATACAGCCATTTTTGGGAGGAGAAGAGCGGACACAATCAGAGATTCGATTTGGGAGAGGCGGTGGACTGACTTTGGAAACAGCGGATTGGTATTGGAAGGCGTTTCTACCGATCGGTTCGAGCCGGGATCACCCGGCTGCTAACGTGGTTCGGTCCGGGTCCGATGTTTCGGGGCTGAAATTACCACCGGCGCTTGTTGTGAATGGGGGCTTGGATTTGTTAAGCGATCGGATCAAAGAGTACTGTGAGTGGCTGGAGAAATCGGGTAAAGAGGTTCGGGTCGTGGAGTATCCGAATGGGATTCATGGGTTTAGTTGGTTTTCAGATCTTCCGGAATATTCCATGCTGATGCAAGACGCCAGAGAATTCACCAGAAGGGTCTTGTTAAATTAAATCCGAATTAGTTAAATGAAATAAAAAAAAGAACCAAGAAACTTGCTGTTTTTGTTTTGTTTTCTTCTTGTTTCATACACGTGGCGTACAAATTTCAGGGAACGAAGTCTCTAGTACTTTTAGGAAGGCTAACAAAATGGATGTGTGGTAGTTTGTGAAACAATATTGTAGTCACGTAACATCATTAGAAGAATTATAAATTGTGTGATGCCTACCAATATTTTGGGATTATAATACTCTTACATAAAACACGACTATCAACCTACATATACAGGATAGACATCAAAGATGAAAAATTCAATGGATAATGCGTTCAAAGTATTCTTTTTCTATCTTTAAATAGGATAGGTATTATCACAAAGGTTTAAATCTCTTCTATATTCTTAAACTCCCCCTCTTTTCCTGCCTAATACCTCTCTTTTTGGAACAAGACAAATAGGGAGTGCCCTCTTTTTACCCTCTTTTTAATACAATACAATATAACACTATTTTTAATTTTATTTTATAAGAAGACGCATTAAAGTGTTGTACAAGAAGACTATTTTAGCTTTATGTATTATTATTTTTTGGGCATTTGATACCTTAAAAGAGTAATTAAAGGCGATCATATAGCTTGAGCTAAACTCTCTCTTTGAAAGGCATAAGATGAAAATGTGAAAATGAATGAAAAGTAAAGTATTTTGAAAAAAAATATATGTCGAGATATGACACAATTCTATGATACCCTCAAAAGCAGAATAATGAAAGGCAACATATGGCTTAACTTGAACCCTCTCTCCAAGGAACATTATTAGATGTGGAGATGGAGAAAAAGTGAAAAGTTTTTAATCAATATGGAATCATCTTTTATGTTATCTTAGATGATAGATAGTACAAATGTAAATAAATAAAATATTTTATTAAAATGATATATAAAAGATGCAGGATTAAGGGGTGCGAGTTCAAATCCCACTCTCAACAAATTACTAGGTGTGAGTTCAAATTACATATTGTTATTTATTTCCATAAAATTTAATCAACATGAAATTATGCACCAATATTTTTTTCTTCCCCCACTCTTACTTGCCTCTTTATGGCCACTTTTTGGTGAAGTATATGTAACCTTTTTATTTGCTCTCAGTTAATTGCTAGAACATATAGGAATTTAATCACACAAGATCGGAAGTTGAGATTTGTACCTGATGAGACGAAAATCCTTTTGCTTCCAGATTTCTACACTCCCTTGGGTGAATGATGAAACTTCCTAAGCAGAACACTGCAAAAACGTCAAAATGTATCCTTCCTGTTAAATCACTGCCCAAAAGCTTATTACTCATTTAATCTACCACCAAAGTTCAATATTAATAATGAGATCGTTAATATTGCAGGATTTTAAACTAAATCATCATTGCTTCCAAAACTATGATAAACTAAAGCAGTTAATATATTCCCCATACATATTTACTATAACCCTGTCAAAATGATCCATCTTACAACATTGTATTAAAATAAAAAGATGGAAGGGTCGAAAGAGAAGAAGAAAGGTTGATGTGCATACTTTCACTTGACAGCTTTGGTATTTTGTATCAAATGAAATTAGAGAGAGATGAAAATGGAAGCAGACTATTTTTACGGCAAAATAAAACTGATAAGATAACTATACTTACCGGTGATTGCAACTAGGAATAAACGTGAACGCAGTAATAGACTGGTGAGAACATGTGCGGCGGATTTGGCATCTGGCTCCCTGACTCGCAAGAAGAAGCGGGTGAGTCTTAGATATGCAGTTCAATTCTGGCAAATATGCGAGTACTGATGCAAATATGCCAGTAGGTACTTTGAAGGTAGGAATTTCAAGCAAATACCTTCCCCTAATATGCCTGGATCCACGGTTTCCTTAGCTGCACCATTCAATAAGCTCTTCAATACCATGTTCAATCCCTGCCGCTTCTAGTTCTACGCAGATTTGTGTTTATCATCAATCATCAAACTGATAATGCCTTCTCAGGCATGACGCAATGGACTCCTCAATGATCCACATGATCAAAAAACAATAGCAGATGCCCTTTTGAAGTAGGTGCTGACAAAAACCTATGGATCGAGTGTCGTATGAACAGCCTTAAAAACATACACCGATTTTCATGGACGGAACACTGCAAAAACTCTCTCCCACATTGAGCTCTATCGTAGCTGCCATCCTACCACCCGCCATGAGATCATGCCAATTCCAGAAGAACCCATGAGTCTTCCTGAAGGACTTGGAAGAATTTTCTTTGAGATTCTCCATAGAAGGATAATTCCAGTTTAACGGAGAGCTTGACAATGCAGTGAGACATAAGGAACTTATTGAAGCAATTACAAAAAAGAATAGGCTACGTATTTTTTAACAGGATTAAGCATAAGAGAAACAACGGAGGCTCTGAAAGGCTGTCAACTAGGCTTACAAGAATTTGATACGTTGGTGTGCAATAGTGGAAGTGAGCTGTATTATCCATGGCAAGATACAGCAGCAGATGCAGATTATGAATCACACATCGACTACAGATGGGCAGCAGAGAATGTCAGTTCGACAGTGACAAGGCTTGCTAAGTCGGAAGGTGGGACAAGGATGATATAACGGAACATTTAGGTGTACAGAGTTCAAGGTGCTGCTCCTATAGTGTGAAATCAACTACCAATGTAAGAATCAAAATATGCTTTATTGTACTGACTCGAAAAAATGGAATTTGTGGCCTAGGACTGCATATATCTCATGAACCTTACTCGATCATCCATTCTCAATCTGAACTGCAAAACTACTTATAAGCAAAACTATTTTGAAGAAAACCATTATACATATTGTAGAGAATAGGGGGATAGTTGGTCAAGAACTACCTCCAACCGTATCAGCTGATGCTTCCGTTTCACTGGCTCGCTTAGCCGTTTCAAGTTTAACCTGAAATAAATTCTAATCATTTATTTTGGAGTAACAGTAAGGGAATGATCAATCTGCAAAAGAGACAATGAAAAAATGGTTTAACGATCAAAACATTTTCGGCCTCATCTTCTTATAAATAAATTGACAGGCCCAAGCACAATCTTTTAGCTCCAAATTACTTGTTTGGTGATTAAGGACTAAGCATAAAAAATGAACACTTCGACTATCTTCGCTCCAACAATTAGAGTGATGATTTACTAAGGGGTGGTTTTATTGACAAGATCGAGGCCCTAATATTTATCTCTTAAGATTGTTTGATTGATTCCCATTCAAAGCAAATACAATACGGACGAAGTACCTAAACGATGCTAAAAGTGAAAAGATCGTGATCAATGAAAAATATTATTGAAACGATTATCTAGAGCCAAACTAAGTATATGCCATAAGAATGCCATTAAGAGCGTAACATAAGATGAAACTTGAGCATAAAATTTCTAATGGACTTCCATGATGACATTTGAAATCCAGAAATCTTCTACTTAGAACCTGAGCAGGAAAAAACTTTCATATATGAGCTGTAGAATTTAAGCTACGCATACTCTAAATATCTAGTTTCTATATACAGATATTGGATTAAAGTCACGGTAAGAATCACTTGGATGCTCGTTTACTAAATCCCTTCAAATCCATGTACAAAATCTAGCAGTTACAGCTGTTGGAGCAGTCTATGGATAACCATGTAATCTCATGAGTGCAAATAAACGGCCGCTGAAATAAACCATAATTACTGATTGATAAGCGAAGTAGTTGAGAGGCGGAATCCTACTTCTATGTGAATCATGTTAGCATTTACCCAATCCTATAACAAAGGTTGCTTAATAGACTAGATTTCAGAACAGGAATAACGGATTCAGAATATTGAAATTGGACTGATGTCCTCAGCAACATTGGTATAAGTTCTATCATTGTTTATACCACTGTTAACACATCACGCACCACCGACAGAACCAGAAATTCCAAATTGCATAGTTCAATAACCTCTTCTCAATACTTTTGGCTCCTAACCTCTTCTCAATATTTTACTAAATGCTTAAGGAAAAACGTTCGGATGCAGAAATAAGGAACTAGAAGACTATAAGTAGAGACTTGACCAGAAGTGAAATCTCCATGGTTTGAGCAGTAAGAAAGTACATACGCTCTTCGACAGAGTTCTTCAAAGCTTGATCCTCCACGTCTGAGTAAAGTTTGATACAGAATCAATCCAAATTAGTGTTACTAACCAACAGGAACACGAAAAAAATATATTTCTGTAAGTTAAAACTTGGATTTAGTCCTCTGGAGATGGAGGAGTCGGTACGTACCGTTCATTTGTAAGCGCAAGATCTTCGTGTACTGCAAATACTCTTCCATCCTTGACAGTTCAAGGAGCAAGAAGCTGTAACCTGTAATTTAGTTCAAGTTTCTGTTCAGTGCCGAGACACATCAAGTGGTGAATGTGACTGAACGCAGAGCGGAAGCCAAGAAAGAGAGGCATGAGGCGCGCGCTACTCTCCGATAAGATCAATTTGGAGGGAAAAAGTTGTGACTTCACCGTTTGGTAATTGATATTTAATAACTCAGTTACATGCATAATAGGATCTCAACTTTTGCCTAATAATTTAATATATATATTAACCTTTTTAGAAAATTGAATATTTGACGTATTTATTAAACACAAGGTTAAAGTGGATGATATGAAATATAAATAAATTATGTATGTCTATATACTGATGCAAAAAATAATAATTTTTTTTTCTAAAGATATTTTTTAAAATTTGTTCTTATATTTTAAACATAATACTAATAAACATTTTTTATTTTTTATTATTTTTTAAAGGTTTTTTTTAAGTAAAAAAATTTATTAAAAGTTTAACAATTTAAGACTATTTTTGAGATAAAAATGCCTACAATTTTGATTAATTTCGCTAAAATTAAATAAGAATATCTATAAACCAGGGCGGTACGCAAATTACTGGTTGCCCCCCCTAATCTGGTCGCCAGGTGGTCCTCCGAAGATTTTTCTCTCTTCTCTGGACTTCCGAGAAGGGGGAAGGAAGCGTAGTGTCGAAAGAGAGGTTAATATTCTTTCATGATTGCCCGACCAAACATAGTTGGAGAGCAATCTATCACGAAAAAGAATTGACGTTTTTTGTCCCGTTAGATATATAGAGCTTTCCCAGAAATTTCTGTATTCGATTCGTTTTTCTGTTTCGATTGAGGCTCTGAGGCGAAACAAGGATTTCTGATTTTTTTTTTTTTTAATTTAGTCGAAGGCGAAGATGGAAACCGTAGGATATACCCGCCCGACCGGTTGGTTTAACCAGAAGATCGTCGATCCCCTCCTCCAAATCCTCCAGAGGTTCTTCCTCCACTGCGCATTTGAACTGTGAAATATTTTATTTCTCATTGAGCAGTGATTTTTTTTATGTGAATTCGAGGAATTCTGTTCTTCATTTGGTATAATTTGGCTTGGGAATTTCTGAGGATCTGTTATTGCGTCTCATTTTACAGTTCGTCTTTCTTTGGTAGCATATTTTGATTTCAAGATTTTGAATATTGAATGAGAAGCATATCTCTAGGAAGAAACATTAGAACTGCTGGTTTAATTTATTTCAAGATTTTTCCCCCATTTTCTTTTCATGGATTCTTGGAGTTGTTTTTGCTAATTCTTTCTCAATGAGATAAAATTTCCAAAGTTCTTTTAATTCTCTGATGATAATCCTTGAATACATTACTAAAACTTCTTTTTATCTCTGTTCTTGGTTTTGTTGTTAAAGGGGCGCAGAGCCGAAGCAACTGGCATTTTCTGCAGCTCTTGGCATAACACTGGGATTGTTTCCCATATGCGGTATATACTCATTTACAATACACAGACTAATCATTTTTTACTGTTTATGTGGATAGTTCTAACTTCCAAGTAAAATTATGTTGAAATAATTCGACATCTTATTTTATGTTTCATTAACACAGGGGTGACTGTTTTTCTATGCGGGCTTGCAATTGCATTTCTTGGATCTCTTTGTCATGCTCCCACAGTGATGCTTGCTAATTTTGTTGCTACCCCTCTAGAATTGAGGTACTTACCATATGCCTTCCCTAATTTATATTACTAGAATTGCTCATTATTTGTATATGGATGCGTTTCTTGAGTCAGAGTTCTATTGATTTTAATTTTTGCTCTGAAGTCTGGTGGTGCCTTTCTTGCGTTTTGGTGAAGCCCTCTCCGGGAGACCTAGTTTCCCACTTACACCTGATGCCTTGAAGAAAGTTTTTAGTGGCCAAGCTTCACATGAAGTTCTATCGAGTATTGCTCATGTGGTAAAGTTTCTTCTACTTACTAATATCAAGTAATATCAGTGTTGATGTTTTGAGGGTTGAGTGGAGTCCCATCTTGGCTAATTTATGGCTAATTTAAGGAATGATCATGGGTTCAGAAATAAGGAATACATCTCCATTGATATGAGGCTGGGAAACCAAAAGCAAAACCATGAGAGTGTATACTCAAAGTGGACAATATCATACCATTGTGGAGAGTCGTGATTCCTAAAATAGTATTGGAGTCATGCCCTTAGCTTAGTCATGTCAATAGAATTCTTAAATGTCGAGCAAAGAAGTTGTGAGCCACGAAGGTGTAGTAAAAACTGACTCATGTGTCGATCAAATGGTGTACTTTGTTCAAGGGCTCTATAAAAGGAGTCGAGCCTCGATTAAGGGAGGCCGTTCGAGGGCTCCATAAGCCCCAAGGGAGGCTCTAGTGTACTTTGTTTGAGGGGAGGATTGTTAGGAGGGAGTCCCATGTTGACTAATTTAGGGAATAATCATGGGTTTAGAAGTAACGAATACATCTCCATTGGTATGAGGTCTTCCGAAGAAACCAAAAGTAAAGCCATGAAAGCTTAGGCTCAAAGTGGACAATATCATCCGAAGAAACCCAAAGTAAAGCCATGAAAGTTTATGCTCAAAGTGGACAATATCATACTACTGTGGAGGGTCGTGGTTTCTAACCTTGAGTTCTAATATGATTTGTACATTGTTGTTTTGTTGAATAAGGATTAGTAAACTGGTTTTTTTTTTCTTTTTTTTTGAAAAAAATCAATATTGGCAGTTGTTGGGATGGGCTGTTGCTGCGCCCTTAATTCTGGGGATTGGATATTTGTTGTTTTTGCCATGCTTCAAGATTTTAGTTCGCAAGTTCAGCCCTGCAGCTTCACCTCGTTCACAATCTGACGTCAAAATGAAGACGAGGGATGACTGATTTAATAAGAATCCCAGAAATGGCGCATCTCCTCCTCTAAACACTGCCCATTTGCATTTAACATGGTAACCTTCTTTGTATAAATGTATTACCATGGCCTTCAGTTGCTTCTTCGCTTTGTATGAACACAGTTTTGTGGATAAAAGTTTGATCAAAGTATCATAAAAGCTTGCAGGATGCAACTGTGATTGCAAGTCCCTTATTCATTGCGTTGTTGTTTTAGTGAACGTAAAATGTTGTAGCTTATGCCTTCGCCAAATAAAGCTTTGAAATTTCCAAATTCTGAAACCGAGGGGCCAGCATGAAATAATTTCATCTTAACTTGAATGGACCACGTCGTCTTAATGGTATTTGGTGGTATAATAAATAATATGTTCCCAAGATTTATAAGAAACGTAATTTTGATTCTTTTTAAATCCATTTTTCTTTTGGCTATCTTGATTCCACATTTATGATGGCTTCCTTTAGAAAGTTCAACTCTTATCCCGATGAGCATTATCGATCCCCGCTTGTTTTTTTTTTTTTTTTTTTTTGTTATTCAATTAAATGTCATAATAAAATTTGCTCTCCAAAATATTACATCAAATTCATTATAGGGTGAACATGATTTCTATAGGGAAATAGATACAATAATTAAATTGCATATTCTGTGTAAAAAAAAAATGAATATGATAGTTTTTATATAAAGAAAAAAGGATATGATAATTACAGTTTCTTCAATTATAATAATTATAGTGATAAAAATCCAATAAATTTGAAAAAGATTAAAATTAGAATGTGAAATAATTGAGTATTCATTTTAAACTAAAAGCCACTTTGATCTTTATGCCCTCCTTACCGTCGAAGCAAAACAGGAATTCTTTCTTGGTTCTTACGTTGGCTCACACAAATTAAAACGCTACAAAGCTCAACAAATATTGATTTTGCATAAATTCAGATTTCAGAAATGAGAACTAATTAAAAAAAAAAAAAAAAAAAAAAGACAGAAAAGGCGCGCGTGTTTCCATATTCCCTCGAAAAGAAAAAAAAAAACATCCTCGCCGATTTTTTTCTTCAGCCCAAGTCCTACAGCCAGCGGGGAAGTCAAAAATGAGAAAGCTACCGATTTGTCCAAATTGTAAACTTTCTCTTCGTAGCTTCCTCTCCGGTATCTTCCCTGTTCATTATCTCTCAGATTCTGAATGATTCGGAGACCAGTTTTGGTGGAGAGAAATTCGCGATCTCTCTCTCGGTGGTGGAAATTTGCTAGAGGTGATTTTTTTTTTTTTCCGCTTGTGGTGTACTCAATGTTTAGTTAGAATCTGTCCTGCAGTTCAGTTGCTAGAGTTATGGAATTTGACGGTCTGGCTGTTTATTTGTTCAATCTTGAGCTGAACTTGCTTGATCGTTGACTACTTACTGGCTTGATTTTTGTTTAGTTTGATTATTTGCTATTTGAGTCGGTCTCTGTTAATCTCTTTCCATTTTACTTTTGTACTATTTCTTATTTGGAAGTCTTCGTGCATTTGAAGACAATCTGTATTATCGATTGTGCTCAACTTGTTTTCTGTGTCTTAATCTTCTAATGGCAGAATATTCAACTTAGGAGAGCAGGTTTTGTTCTTCTGAATTCATAGAAAGAAGTAAAACTCCATCAGCTCTTCTTCAATTGCTTTGGATCTGTTACCGGTATTTTACTTGCAATTTGTTCGGTTTCTGGAAGGATTCGCCAAAATTACTTGCTATCTTGTCGCTCGAAAAGCCAGACTGATGAATTTCAGATACTTTGAAAAGAAAGGTGGATAGTGAAAGGAGTTTGTTTAGCCTTGATTTCTAGGAGTTGCTTCGGTGCTGCTGAATTTGCTGGTAATCTTCCATTCTTCAAATGAATCCGGATCATAGCAAAATTTACTACTGTTCTGTTTCAAGGGGCGAACGTATGCTCTATGTGTATAGTAATGGTGACCAGGAGATTGAGAATTTGGCTGATTTATGCTTGAAAAGTGCCCCTCCCTTTCACAAGTGGTATTTTGAGACATTGGGTAAAAAAGCTTATGGGTTCTTGATGAAAGAAGGGTATATTTATTTTGCAATTGCTGATGAAGTTATTGGTAATCAGGCTCTTCTTCAGTTTCTAGAGCAGTTGAGAGATGAATTCATAAAGGTAGCAAGGAAGGGTTCACGAGGGAGTTTCTCAACTGTGAACTTCATTAGTCTGCAGGAACAGTTACTGCCTGCAATTCGTAAATTAATCACCTCTCTTGAGAATGTCTCCAATAGCGGTAAGGATTGGATAGCTGAAACCCCTTCCTCGAACAATGGCCTATCTCCATCTCCGAGTAATGTGAATGGCCAAGCTGACATTTTGGCTTCCACGAAAGCCCCTCTGTTGGGGAAGTTAAGCAAACCAGAGAAGAAAAAGGGAAAGGACCATGTGATTACAATGAGAGGTATTGAGATGGAGGAGCAAAGAAAGTCTACAGATAGAGGTTTGAAGGTTGATTCGGTTTCGTTGGAATCTGGTAATCAGGGTGGATCGGGGTCTTCAATTCCAGTGGAGAAAGACATCAATCCATTGAGGAGATCAAGCTCAAGCATCCGGAGAAGGTGGTGGCGTCATGTGAGGATTGCACTTGCTGTTGATGCTGCTGTGTGTCTGATATTGTTTGTCATTTGGTTGATTATCTGTAATGGAATTTCTTGTGTCCGCTGAGAGTTTATCTATTTGTACATGGACATAGACCTTGAAAGATGGCAATTGGGGAGATAAGCAAGGGAGATATATCACCATTGGATCAAGTGTCAGTGCTGTTAACGTGGAGAAAGTGTTTCTGAAGGCCTTGACTGAGTTCACACTTCTGAAAAGGTTACAGCAGAATCAAAAAGTTGTACGTATATGCATACGAATTGTTAATAGGTATGAGAATTCTTGATATACTTGCGGATTTCTGCTGCTTAATAGTTACTTCTGCTGCGATATCTGTTTTGGGCTGGTAATAGATAATGATATTTCACTTGTTAAGATGTACCTGCCTTGCTATTACCTCACCTCAATTGAGTGTGGAAGGATATGATAAAAGTGATTTTATGTTTTCCTGTCTCTTTTTTTCTCTTGAGTTCAACGCTTTTGAGGTTTCGATTTTCTAGTCAAGAGTATATATTTTTGTGCTCGACTGACAATGTTTACCTTTAATAATATTAATCATTAGTTATTGTATCTACAAACATCCCAAATCTTTCTAGTTTCGTGGCTTTGATCATGTTCATTCCCATGCCATACTACTAATTTGGTATCTATCACTTTGGAGATTCAAGATGGTGAAGGGTCTTGATTTGATATTATTTGATTTCCCTCTTGGTTCATTTGATGTGGCTATGGGTTCTTCCTTTTGAACTTCCAACAAAAACGGTCGGATGGACAGAGAAGCTTGAATCCATTGATATTATGTGGGAGTTATAAGAATGTTTCTACTCAAGTGGTCCTTTTCTCTTTCAATATATATTTTCTAGCGAAATTATTTGGCATTCCAAATAAATATGTTAATTCTTGTGATTTGAAAGAAAAAAAAAAACCTTTTATTTTGATAGTACATTGTTTAAATGCTTTAGTAAACAAGCAACTAGTTCTAAAGTCTAAAAGAAAAAAAAACCACTGAAATAACATAAAATAAAAAAAAAAAATCTAATGATGCGTGCACTAAGACAACATGGTAATGCCCAATTATCATTCTAAATTAAATAATGGAAACATTCACAAATTTTGTTTAATTAAAAGTCGCTTAAATTTATTAGAGTAAACAAAAGAAAGTCCAAGAATTGATGGGATTATGGATTATTTCAGAATTTGTAGAGGCCTCAAATAGTTTGGACTTCCTTTATAAACAATTTACAGTTGGTATAGTGTAAGCCACATAGTAAATGGCCATAGAGGCAACTAATCATCGATATTATGAGTGATCTTTCATCAAGCTATGATTGTATTGTTTTTTTATATATATATTAACAATAGACTTAGTTGATGATGATTTTTTTGTTAAGTGTATCACCATTTTGACAACTATATATTATTATTATTAATACTAATTTTATTTTACTTTACTTCTGTTGTGAATAAATTTGAATTGACATCATTTTTTATATTTTATTTTAAAATATAGTTTATACATGTATATACTTATAACACTATCAATTAAACTCTTAAGTTGTCTTCATGAATCAAATTATTAATTATTTAAAATGCGACATGAATTTAACTGATATTATTATCAGTTTGCAAATGAAATTAGAGGTATAAATTGACTAGAATCTATTATTAATTTAGAGTTTTTACCTATTCAATGGTAAGTAAGGAGTATACATAGATTTTGAAAAAAAAAATCTAAACTGAGGAAAAAGGAAAAAAAAAGAAGAGGAAGATCGTTGGAGAGTAAATAGAAGCCTTTCTCGCGGGTGCTGTGCTTTCTACGTTGTTGACGATACATGAAGATCAGCTGATTCTCTTTCTTCCAATCAAACGAACAGTCCGGAGAAGAAAGACATTCCTCATTCTCTCCACAGTTTTGAAGAAATCACCGACATCCAGTTGTTTCGGTTGGTTCAGATTAATTTCGTAATTCTGAGGCGTAACTGAGGAATTGGAGAACAAAGCGCCAAAGCGGCTCTGCCGGCTCCGGTCCTCGAGCCCCTCTCTGATCTGCAAAACCCTTTGGTTCCTACCGGATCCTTCCATCTCTTCCATCTTCTCCAAACGTATGCGAGGTATCGGGTCAGTGTGAATTTAGCTACTATTTTAAAGTGAAATGCAATTCTGCATTTGTACTTAAATTGATGCGTACCCTTCTGTGATCTCGACGGTCATTTTCTTATCTGGTGAATGATTAAGTGATCGCTAATTGTGAATGTTAGAAGCTCAGGCTTTGTATTTCCATGACCCGATTGGTTTGTGGTGAATCTAGATCGTGCTGGCGGACTGTCTGTTAAGCTTCTTTGGCCAATTCGGAAGGGATGGCCGATACCGCGATTGACCATGTGGTATGGTAAATTAATCTCCGTTCTAGTTTATCTTACGAACTTTCCGGAAAATTATTCTCATTCAACCAAGTTAGTACCTAAACTCGTAAGGTGAGGGTGTTGGTATCTGCTACAAGATCTTTCAAAAGTGAAGATTATGAATGTATCTACATTTAATCATGGATATTGAGCTGCGTTATGTTAACTAAAAACAAGCTCGATTACAATTTAGTTTTGGACAGTGAATTTATTAAATGTTTTGTTATGTTTCTTTACGTACTGCAGAGTCACTCTTATGACGAAGCCAACAAGGCCCAGAAGAATGTATTTGACTTGGAATCATTTGTTGGGGACTTGAATGTTGAGGAGGATGCTTGCAGGTAGGTGCATACTCAAGTTTCTTATTCCTGTATGAAGCATACGCAATATTTTCTTCTTCAGCTATCCTAACAATGTTAATGCCACAATTGCATGGTGGGCTAAGATTTTCGTTAGTTAAGAAGAATATAATGAGTTTATTTGGTTATTATATTTATTACCTTCTACTATTGAATCACCGAATTTGAGTGTGGTATCAATTTGATCCGTTTTACAGTGATGACATTTCATTGGAAGGACTGCAGCAAGAGCTTGAGGAATGTAAAGATGATGATGTAAGTTATTTCAATCTTTGGTGTACTTTCTTTTTAAAATTATTGAGAGATTTATCTTTAAAATCGTTATCAGGGCATTTTACATTGTGGTAGTGTCTTTTCCCCATTTAGCTTGTATTACTTGTCTAGAATCTTTCATTCGCCTTAATGAAAGCTTGGGTTTTTTTTTTTTTTTTTTTTTTTTTTTTTTTTTTTTTTTTTTTTTTTTT